TCGGTTTATCTAGATGATGAACCCATGTATGTGGTATTGAACCGTTTACCTGACGAAATACTGCAACATTGATACGTCAAAACGAGGACCCCCAGATATGACTCATTCAGAAGTAGGCGACCACGAAATCTTACTAGAAAAGCTTCTGAGCTACTGACCTGAATAAGCGAATTTGAACCTATTTCAGCTTACAACACAGTCGCTATGCCAAACCTAACTTGTTATTTCATGCCATGAACAAATCTGTCCGACAAAAGTCACGAACAACCTACTATCAAAAGCAGTCACAATCTTCAAGTGCTAAAACGTTAACCCGAATACTTTACTTCTTTACTCTCCAAAAACACAGTTTAAGGAAAATTCAATCCTGCATAACCTATCTACCCACTATAGTAGACAGATAGTCAACCACCCTTGATCGTTAGAGGAAGGTTTATTTGGTATACCTAGGCATTTCAATAGCTTTATTATGTCCCGAAATTAAGCCCAATCTTTTAGGCATCAAACAATCACTAATAAACTTGTTTGTTTCATATCTAAACCGTAGATGTTTTTCAGTCAGAGTAAACTTTGCTATCCCTCAGACTGTAGAATGACCTGTTGAGGTGTCCTAGGGTTCCGTATTGGGACCTCGTCGCTGTTTAAAATGCATATATGTAGCCTTCCTCACGGGTTCGTTTAAGCTATTAATTTTAGCTGTTGATGTTAAGCTTTGGAGATAAGTTAGCAGTCAAAACGATAATCTGGCTCTTCTGGAGGATCTCACTCGAATTCCGATTCGGGCGAATAACGACGGACGTTCAACACTTCACAGTGCGAAGTAGTCCACCTGACACCCGCAGCAGGTCATATATGCAACTTCACTAACTTTCCTCTAGAGGTGTCCCAAGTTGAAGAAGATCTGGGAATCTTGGTATCCTATGGTTTGAAGTCTTGTGCTAACCTTAATAAAAATGCCTTTTGAGCAAACCTTGCACTAATTAAGTTAAAGCGCATCTCTGGTTGTTTTGATAGTAGAACGTTCAAATCTTCAGTAGCTTTAGAGTATGAAAATATAGCAGCCCCTTCCTTACCTCACAAGACAACAGTACGTTGCAATGTGACCAAAGGCGAGTCAAGAAATCAGTTCGAGGACTCAGGTTCAAGCCTTATTAGGAGTGTCTCAAGTCAATGGTTCGTAATCTGTTGGGGTTTAGGAGTCTCAGAGATTACCTAATGATTCAGAGCTTTCTAAACACTAATGAGCTTTTGTTTAAATACTTACCTAAGCTCAGTCTCAACACAAAACGTTTGAAAGATACCCGAGAAACTAAAGACCCAGTATAGTAAAATGAACTGCAGGCAAACTCCCCACTCTTCCAAAGCGATAGAGTACACCAAACTGGAGGCGGAGTCGCTATATGTATAAATAGCCACTTAAAAGCCGAGCGGCTTTACGACACCCAGCTAAATGAAGTGACAGAATCATGTTGGTGTTGTTTCCATATAAACGGCATGATATATTTGATTGGAGGGAATTACCAACCTCCCTCAGGTACTAAAGCACAGAAAGACAAACTGACTGAAACAGTACTGCAGCTGCCAATCCTAGGGTTTGATCAAATACTCTTAGCTGAAGATTTCAATACCCCATTTCCAAATCTCAGCAATCAGAGTATAACTCCCACTGGTTGGTTCCAAAGACGACTAGGAGCAGCCATTAGAAGCTCTGGGCTTACTGAGCATGTATTTAGTGCCACTAGATGGACTAAGGAAGGAAAATCCTCAAACATGGATTATTTGTTAACAAATGCTCAGCTCATGGTCGAGGATGATCACGCCCATACACCAGTAGGATGCAGAAACCATGGCAGAGTCTTGTTTAACATGGTCATAAACGAAACACTCACACAGGATGGAAAAGAACCCTATCTTTGCTGCACTAGGTCAAAGTATACGCGGATGAGAGAGGTCCTCCTACATGCCCCATGACCACAGGAGTGGTGGAGGCCGACAGTAGATAATCACTGGCAAACAGTGAGGGACATCATCCAGAATGCTGTCGTAGACAGTGTACCTCAGTCACACCATTCAGCCGGAAATAGAAGAACATAGGTTAGGTGCGGCACTGAACGCTTGCTACATGCGAAGATGAGAGCGTCGCACAAGTCGAAGGTCTCCTTGAAGGATTCTGATCGTAGTTCTTACTTGGCACTGAGAAACAAATGCAATACCGAAGTTCTAAGTGACAGGAAACGCTTTCAGATTAAGCTAACTGCCAAAATACAGGCAAACCCGAAGCATCTGTTTGGGTCCATGACTGAAAGAAAACCTGACAATCAGGGTTGGTGTTCCCTTATAGGTCCGAATGGGGAAGAGCTCACCAACCTAGAGGTGGATGAGATCTTCAATGCAAACAGGAATAAGAACAAAATACTCTACGAAACTCAACTGGTGTTTCGGAAAGGCAGGTCTTGTGCATCCAATCTTCTCATAGCATGAGACAGCTGGACATCCTGCTGGGACGGAAGAATACCAGTGCATATAATATTTCTAGATTTTGTAAAAGCCTTCGACATAGTACCCCACTCGCGCCTAATCACGAAGGTTGGGGAAATGGGCTTCACTGATCCACTCCTATCGTGACCCAGAAACTACCTTGAGAACAGAGAGTTTCGTGCACACGAGTCGGCGAGTCTCAACATCGCGAAATTCATAGGGAACCATCTTAGATCAACTTCTTTTCCTGATATTTATTACCGACCTGTTTGGCACAGTTAGCTCGCCTGGTTCGATCTACGCAGACGATGCAAAGACCTGTTTGTCCATTAGGAGCGAAGGGGATTCGACTTGGCTTCAAAAGGACCTCACATCTATTGCGGAATGTGCATTGAAAAACGGTTTAAAACTAAACCAGTAGAGATGTCACGTCATGTACATTCTGCACCAGATGACGCGAATGATTTAAACCCTTTATGGAATTCCGCTCCCCGAAAATCTCCTCAGAGCGCGACCTCGGTTTAATAACCACATAAAGCCCCCACATAAGCTCGAACTATATAGAGGACGCAGCTAAGGCAAATGCAGCTGTTCACTTTATGTGAAGACGACTTGATGTTATCACAGAAGAATCATTCTTAACATTGTTTAAGACACATACACGCCAACATCTCGGGGTTTACAACGTCGTTGAACCCCCTCTCCTTAAAAGAGATATAAATCTCTTGGATCGATTGCAACGAAACGGGTGGTAGGATTGAAAAATAAAACTTACGAAGATATACTTCAACACTTGAGACCATTCCTCCCTGAATTGCAGGAGAATCAGAGGTATGAAGCAAGCCAAACCATCCCAACCTGAGCATCTTACCGATGCAACACCACAACTCCGCTCGAGGCAATCCTCAAAATATTGCGCATTGAAGAGCGAATACTCAGGTTCGTGCACACTTTTCTAATTAAAAGTCATTGAATCTTGGAATGCTCTCCCGGACGAGGTGATCACAACCCCCTCAGTGGACAGCTTTCAGAATCACGCACTCACATACGGATTATCATTTCCCTATTGGACAAGCTGTGCCTGACGCATATCTTGAGACTTGCTAGCTCTTATTATTGCCATCTCCTCAGATCAGCAACGAAATTTATCTCGTCTTTTGTCTCTGTTTCGTCTCTCTTGCTTACACCTTAGTCCTCTCAAAGAAACTTCGCTACCAATCATTAAATAAGATTGTGTGCTTATTTACTTAGTTCTGAAATTTTCGTATTATCATTAGAATCCTCTCCTTATCATTCTCGACATTGCAACTAAGTGACCTCCGGTGTGGCAATGTGATAGCTGCTGGTATCCAGAAACCCTACTACCCGGAAGCAAACCTACACATTCAAACCACGGGACATACAAACTCACAAACAACTGCCAACTGACTAGAATCAGGCAGTCGAGTGGCTAGACCCGCATCCATCGGACGCTACCAAACACCTAGAACAAAAGTCGAGTGCAGAGAAATCTACTGTTTTATACTAGCTCGTGAAAAAGATATTGGACACTGAAATCTAACGCAGCCACCAAAAAATAGCTAAATATACCCAGGTTTCTATCTAAAGGCATCGGTGATCCACTGCTACTAGTTACGGAAGTCCGTTAAGCGAAGGCCTCATCTATTTCGTCCACAACGTTTGTGCCATTAGAAGGTCGTAGGACAAAAAATCGCGGTCAAGTTTGAGAGTAGGTTGTAACGCATTCGATATCTTATTCTATCAACTGCTAGTTTCGTTTATCAGTTTGTCTTGATCTCAAAATGTTTTTATTTCTGTTTGCTGTCTATTTATTCCTCTATTGCATGTAAGTGCATTCCATGAGCTTACTGAGTCGTTGGCTCATCTTTTTCTCTTGTTCCTTCTTCGTCCAGATAATTCACACTGCTCCTCACACCCCCTCCAGAGCACAAGGTACCTCCAGGCTAAACGCAAACCACCCAAAGGTTGAAGTTACAGGTTACTTTTCTACCGTGCTAGGGATTGCAAATTGTTCGTTACTAACCCTTAAGTCTAGAAATCATTCTGATTTATTCTGTTCCATTTCCAAACTTGCAAATGAATTCATAAAGGACTGCACGTGGGTCAAAAGGTCTAAAAGAGATAATTTCGTTATAAGCTTGACATTTACATTAGTTTTATTCGAAACTAAGTCAAAACGCTCATCAAAAATTGTTCGACAATCAGCGCGTTAATAATTACTGAGATATGTAATTGAAAATTAGTCCCCAGATTGTAATCCTATGTTACCCAACTACCCGAAACCGTACCGAAAGAACAAGGATACCTATGGTCATGAAGAATGGTAGATAATGTTTGTATTTATACATCTGAGTAAAATCCCTAGTTAATAAAAAATTATTTTATTAGTGAAATTCAGTGAAAGTTATTTATATTTTCGGTTTGTAATGCTAATTTGATTTTAGAGGAGCTGGTCTCATCAAATTTTCCGGTTTCAAATAAGTCAAATACAAAAACATTCGATGATTGGAAGAATATTAGTGCACAGGTTTTTGATAATTGTTATTGTTAGAGCTTCACTTTAGATTCTTAAAGAATTATTTTCAATCTTACAAATTCTCCACGACCCCTAAGCTTTTGGATCTAAGCGAGTTTTTTGATGATCAAAAAAACTGGGGCGAATCAACCGTATACAGTGGGAGACCATGGCGCAAGGAAGAGCTTCGACTGAAGAGTAATGTTGATCTACATAAACTATGGTATGTGCTTTTGAAGGAGCGTAACATGCTGATGACTATGGAGGAAGAGCATTTACGTTGTTTGGAGCGTATGCCTAACTCTGAGCGCTTCGAAAAGGTAAATTATTTATTCATATTCTGAGATAAGTTAAGTTTTCGCGCTTCATTTTGAAGTCTATCATCATATTTAGTTTAAAGCCATAAAACTAGCTTTGCTAAAATGATAATACTAGTTTCTAAATTATGTCTGTGGTCTAGCGGTTACGGCATTCGGTTTTCAACTCTTGGTCTCAGTTCCGAGTTACGCTCCATCTACTTTGGCCCAGTCAGCCAGGTAACACACGAGCTGTAACCCAAAGCTGAGTGCACAAATCCGGACTTGATTAGTTACTTCCGAATAGTAATATACCTAATTGCAAGAACAAATTTTAGTGTTCTTTTGTTATGTTTATAAAGACATTAAGGAAACCGGACTTACCATGAACGAATTAAGTAAATATTAGTGAGTGAAGTGCAGTATTTTGATTTCATGTACATAGGGTTGTCTGTAAAAAAGGAATCAGTTGCAACATGTTTTGTGCTAAAAATCCCCTAGTGCAACCAAGCACTGTAATAAATAAAGCGGCTGTTAATAATGTGCACACAGAATCACTTGAAAGTTTACTTCTAGTATAGAGGCTAAATTTTAGTCGTATTCATTCATTATCTGCAGCTCAGCCGCTGCCATTAATAAATTCTGCTGAAACCTATTAATTAGAAGATACAGTTGTACCAGTGTACAACCTAAATGTTGATGGGTGTAGACTAGTTGTTTGTGGTGTGTGCATTAACACTGGTCGAAGCTTGGAAACTCAAAATGTCTCAGAATCAATCGCAGTGGGGCAGATGTGTTAATCCTTATTCTCCCCTTACGTCTCATGCTTTAAAAAAACTTAACACCTTTAATCCACTAAATCATTGTCTTACCTTTTCCATTCTCGTTAATACGGCTATTATCTCAAATCTTATAGAGTTCCACCTAGTAGTCTCGTCTTCGCGGATACACTTGCACCGTTGCAAACGTCTTTGAAACATGTCATTCAAAGTCTCCCATCACTGCCTACGTTTACTACACGGACCCTAGCCAGGTAGTCTGCACCTATTAACATGACTCAGTCCAATTATCAATGACTTCATGAACTGGTGCCATGGTTCATTTTAGACTCTCGTAGCTCTTTCCAGCCTACTGCCACACCAGATAGCATCTCCCATCGAGGTAGGCGGTGGTTAAGCACGCGTGACACATGTCCAAACCACCTTAGCTGATGAAGATTCGCTACTCCATCAATCGATTTGCCAGTCTTACCTAGTACACTATTCCGAACCCAAGCATTGCTTACTCAGTAGTCCCAGAGAATACACGAGCAATGCTTCGAAGACACCTGTGATCGAACGTCAGTGGTCTTTGAATATCATCTTTTCTTGGTGGTCATGTGAATGCCCATAAAGTAGGACGGAGCAGATTGTTACGTAGTAAAATCGCCTTTCGGTTGACAGAAAGATGAGTATCTCTCCTACGCCGCAAGTGACGCGAATTGGCAAAAGCCAGTCGAGCCTTCTGTATGCGTATCAGGATTTCGTCAGACACTAGACCATCAAGGTGGTTGAGACTCTCAAGATAAGCGAAGTGATCAACATGCTCAACTGTTTCATTCTGTATCACTAACTCAGGCGCTGACGCAACCACTACTCTAGCAACATTTTGCATTTGAAGTGGGAGGACCGCATCGCAAATATGCTAACATTGTTACTTTAGTTGGTTAGAGGACTGTATTTTATCGGTTTCTTCAACAAACAGAACTATGTCACATCTGCGAATTCGAAGTCGACATATGAACCTCCAGATAGAAAGTCAACCCGTGATAAGTCAGACGGCGAAAGCAATGACCCTAAAAGTATGTTTATAACGGCGTTGAATAAAATTGGGGAAAGCGGACAACCCTGATGGACACCACTCAAGGAGATCAATTCCGATGACAATTAGCCATAATCCCTAACATGATCATTAGTTAGTGCCCGTACAAAATTAATCTACTTTTTTTGAATGACAGATACTGTCATAGAACCTCATGATCAATAGAGTCAAACGCCACTTTAATTCAAGGAATACAAACAATGTCGGACGTCGAAAAGTATACATTTCACTGAAAACTGTCGAAGTTTGAATATTTGATCCATAAATCCACATCTAGGCATAAAACCAGCCTGATTTTCTCGAGTGTGCTCTTCACGATCTCTGGTGGTGTAGTGTTAATTCCGGTGAAAATAAAAACAAGCAGAATGCAGTCCACAAGATTTAGTGAAGTTAAGTGAATCAGGCCACCTAAGGTCTCTAACGAATGGTTGCGACTGCCCCAAAGCCTCCAACTGGAAAGTCTGCACTTCTGAACGTAGTTCAGTTTGACAGTCAATAGTTTTAATGGACTAGTGCCAACTATAGCATTTTCCGAGCTACTTCTATGCTTGCCACTACTAAATATCCGAGTAGGTGGTCTCTGAACGTGTTACATACATAGGTGTCTCAGCCGGTTGAATTTCAGAGCGTCATCGTTTAGCCCACAATGTTTTAACTAAGACCACGAACAACCTTATAATCGATCATTTGGTGATGTCATCATGCAGGTGTACTGCCGCAACGGCGTCTGTAATCAGATACCATCAATCCCCACCGTAGCTGTTATTTTGATGAGCAGGTCAGACTTGTCAACTGTGATGCCAAACTATGTTATGTACAATTCCTCTTCATGAATTTTATTAGAGCAAGAATGATATGAATTTGTTGAGGCTTAGTGTTTGAAAACTAATTTCGATACTTTATCTCATGTTGATGCAAAAACACTGGTCGAGGTTAGAGATGATAAAATTATGTTACGAGGAGGGGTTAGATGTATATTCATAGACCAAGTGTATGAATAGTTATTGATGCCATATTGATTGTCCCCGATTTGTTAATATAAGTTGGTTAACCCATGTTATCTGTCCGGAACGAGTATATTTCGTAATTTAAAATTTGGATTAAATCTGTTTTTAAAATAGGTTGAGGAGAGTATGGAGAATCTCCTAATGGTCGTGGAAGAACGTAACCGTGCAGAAGATGAATTAGAGAAGGGTGAATGGGTTGGTCCAAATGTTGTAGAGTTAGTGGACCCGTTAGGTCGTGCAGTTCAAACACTAACGAGTGAACATCTTTCTCCTAAAGTTATACCAAGTCATGCAGAGTCAGACGAGAGCATGTGGAGTGAAAGAACAATAAACCTGTTGAGATTGGAACGCGAGCAAAAAATCATCCGCAGGCGCGAAAACCAACGAAGACAGCGTTACTTTGAACGACTTAAACAGTGGAATAAAAGTGACTATCTAAACGAAAATTCGATTGAAAAACAAACAATGTGAGCTTATATAAATCGTAGTGTATATACTGTAAATAAATACTTTAATATCTACATATGGTGGTTCAGCCAAAAGTATAGAGATTATTTAGCTTGTTCAGTCCTGGAGTTGTTTTAGAATAAGGCAAAACTTATTTTTCAAGTTTTTATAAAGTTACAACATAAGTTGGTGATCCACTTTAAGAACCTGATTAGGAAGTCAAATGACTAGAGAAACTGACATCCCGAGGTGATAAGTTACCATAGACTAATTTTAGATAGGCAGTTCTGTAGATTATCTAGCTATAGCCAATCTGATATAAATACAAAACTCAACAATCTCCAGCATATCTAATTAGAAATGCCACAATAAGCCGGTTTTCAACAGAACTCAGGTCATTCAACTGGTGTACATTTCCGATATACGTTGAGAGATTTAATCACCAGTTAGATATCACTTACAGTCTTAGAAACGCCTCTTAAGTCAGTAAACATACTTGCATTAAAATACTACGTCTGGTAGAAACTTGACCATTATTATATCCACCAGCAGATACAAAAATTTTCAAGTGCCATTTAAATATCGGGTGATTATAGATCTTGGAGACTGTGACTTTTCTTGGATCGATACGTCTATGGTTATTACATGCAGATTTTCATTTTTTTTCACAAAATGGAACCCGAACATCGTAAATGTTTATCTATACAGAGTTGGACATTGACTTTTATATATAAAACAAACAGCACGATTTGTCTTTGAGTCAGTCAGTTACAATGTAGTACTTCGTACGTACGCACATCAGTTCAAGTTGCCATACCACATTAGCACGGAAATGCAATTGTCGTTTCAAATCCTATAACAGTAGAGGTAGAATTATTAGTAGTAATCGGAAAGATTAGGGTTCGAAGATATTTTTCAAGAAGTATAATCTAGTGAAATAAACTTAAAAACGTAACGTGATGAGGAATTAAGAAGTTTAGGAGAAAGATAGAGGTGATGAGGGATTCAGAAGATTAGGATTGAAGAGAACACAAAGAATGGGTGCACCTGCGCCATTGCAGACAATTTTAAGCCATATCATTCAAGGTCTCTAACCATCAAGTACTATCATCTCGCGGACCCCCACTAGGTAATCTACACTTATTAACAAGACTCAGTCGGTTATCGTTGAGTCAAGGTCCATTACTCTTCTATACCATGATTGTCATTAGTGAACATCTGGCAAACCGGAGACTTAGTTTACATCAAAGATCGCCGTTTTTCATCAGAACCGTCATATAGAGTATAGATTCAAAATATTTGTAACTTCCAAAGCAGCTGTACCTTGTAAACACTACAATATCTTTATGTTAAGAATAGGGAATCCTCGGATGCGATTTACCGACCAGGGAGGGTGAAATCAATTCAAGGTTAAACTTCAACACATTTTCGCCACATTACTTTATGAAATTTTACGACATTTCCACCATGATTTATCTAATGATAATTACTCAGTTCATAAATTACAAACATTCTGATTGATTGAAATGCATTTTTATTCTTCTGGGGCCATTAACTAAGCTACCATTACGATACTAGAATTCTTACTCTAGTGAACGGTCTCGTTGATCGTGTTGATGTTGCCAGATAGTAGTTTAGTGCATGAATATACCAAAATGTTAGCAATTTCTTGTAGACGCCTTGTTATCCACTAATTTAAACAGTCGATTAGTTAGTGGAAATACTTCTATTGGGATGTCTAATCCTGATTATATTTGTTTAGTCAACCTCTGTGGGATAGTTTAGAGCCAGTTTCTTGAACGCGGAAGTTTGACGGCTTGCCTAATAACCTCGACTATTCGAACTACCAGGACAAGATTATAAATAGCTCCTGTTTTTGTGAGAATAATTCGCAATGCGATGTGGGCTTTGGAGTTGTGTTCATAATGCTACCAACAGTGAGATGTGACATAAAACACCAGATGGATAAGACAATTGATTTTGCGGTACTGTGAAAAACTCCCGATAAGAGTATATGAACTAATGGTCTTTAAGGTGAATTTGGTCAATGATGAAAGTAATGATTTCAAAATAATAAAAAAACACTAACATCATACATATGTACATATATTTGTTTGTGCAGACACATTTTATACTAATTAGGAACGTAACCGCTTTTCTAATTCTAGTGTCTTTACTAGGGCGTAATTTAACTCCTTTCCGACAGTTGTTGCAAGCTACAAAAAAAGTAATTTAGTCACATTTGTAAGTTACCTGTGACATTTCAACAATTGATTCTAATTGACAACTACAACATCCATCTTGTTCTAACGAACCAATTGAACCATCTGGATAGATAATAAGAGATAGTCTGGAAATAATTATCAAGAGCAATTCTTTGTAAATCTAACCTGGATAATGAACAAGCTTCTTCTTCTTTACTTGCATCTATTATGTATGTTTTTCCAATCTAGAAAATTGGATGAAAGCATATTATTTTAGAACTAGTTTAGCAACAATTAAGACAGGTTATTCTTCAGTCCAAAAGGTAATAGTAAACCATTTTTCTAATTAGTATTACACATTCAGAAAACAAGTGAAATTCAGGATCCAGTGAACGAATCTACAGCTGACCGAACAAAATCGATTGATGGATGAGTCGATATTGTTTTAGTGAATAATAAAATTACCAGATTTAAATTAAACATATATGAAGTGATTGGATATAATATATGACAGTATAAATAAGTATCACTAAATGCATATAACAAGGATGAAACTGATGGAAAGGGAAGTCTTTGTTTGTTTAATCACGTAAACATTAGTACGTGATATGCACTACATAAATCGGCTTCGCAAACCGAAACATGTGGTTTTGTTATGCGGTCATTCCCCAAAGTTTTAACCCGAACGTCTAATACACAAGGCAGTGGAGCAACATTAGGAAATGCGGTCCCGTAGTGACCAATAACAGGATTCTCGAGTCAATGTGGAACAGTGGTTTAGAGCCAGGGATTTCCCACTTACATAAGTCGATCATCTGTACCCACTGACCCGAATATTCGCTTTACATCCTCTGATTCGAAAAGAGAAAAGGAAGGATTGTAAATCATGGACTCAATGAAAATAAACTGTGAGTGATAACACACATTTATTTGCGGATTCAGTTTCATAACTGTGCAGCGTTTTGATTCAAGTGTTAATGGGAGGTGTAGTGAATTAAAGCCATGAATACAATGTGAAGCCGGTCAGGAAAATATGACAGCTGGTACGATACCAAAAGCATCATATTTATCAATCATATGACGAATATAACTTAGTTACAACTAATGGTCTAATAACTGAAATTTCTGAAGCCACGTTACTTACTTACTTACCTTATGTACTGTGATAAATAATGGCAACATATCTCCAGAAAATCGCCGAACTTCTGCTTCCAGACAATTCACTTTGTTTTGAAAGACAGATAATAATAAAGAATTTGATTGTCTAGAACAATTTTCCGTGATTTTATAGCTATAATTACATACGTAGCGTTTAGCAGAGCAGCTTTGATTACCAAGGACGAAGCATCAAGTAAGTTTCCTGCACCTTCTAAGATCTAAGAAAGGCAGTTATGTATGCAAAAACTAACAAGCAGATCAATATAAATAACCCAACATTGTCGACCACGTTGGATACACAGAGAGCTTAAATCTATGAACTTTGATTGATAGGTTGATTGTAATGTTGTCTTCAAACGTTCTGCAAGTTCGGATGCTGCTTTCTCATTGCAATGGTGAGTTGCTGTAGGATAACTTAAAAAAACGTACAAATTTCAGGTTTTATAAACAACAAAATGTACATAATGGTACACTTATCGAGGCATAGAGAATATTAAGAGCACATATTCATTTAAAAAACATTAAAGGTGCATTACAAAAAATGTATTTTTAAAACGTAAATACGTTTCGATTTTAGATCAACGAAAAACACATGTAAGACTATTTTATAAATATTAGTAATGCTCACCATTCGACATTTATTTCAATACGACCTTCGCTAGGGTTAGTTAAAGAAGGTTTACCAACCTCCATTTTAACACAGCATACAATGAATGTTTCACCCTATAAATAGTGAAAATCAACATCGATATGATGTACTTACAATGCGAATACTTGCTGAACCACTTGCATGACTTAAAATATTTGTCTCAATTTCTAAAGGTCGATATTCACTTGGGCCACGACCATCCATTCTACATCCCACCTAAGTTAGTTAATACTAAAGTAAATGAGCTTACTTCGACTCCTTGTACTAAGTAGAAACGTTCAAGATCACTTAAGAGAACAGTATCCATGATGATTCAATATTCAACCAATATGTTTCAGTATGACTGTATGTGAAAATAAAAATCAAACAACAATTAATAAAACAAAATAATGCACAATTGTTAAGTATTCATTTTATAATCGTGTGAATTTGGTGCATATTTTGGTTCGGTCAAATGTTATTCACTTTTACAATGAAGCATGAAATGTATAGTTACCATTCTTAACAACAGCTAGGACACTATATCAACCTCTTCAGGTTCTACTTAATGACGACAAAGCTAAGAATATATTTAAGTAGCAACTAGAAAAGCAGTTAGGCAGCCTCGTATTAACTGATGTTCATATCGAGGCAGCTTAAAAGATATTCAAAAGATTGGGGAAACGGCAGTGATATCTGCTAATAAGGTAAACCATAAGAGTAGGGGGAAGCAGTGGATCACAGTAGCATCTCCTGAACTGATAGATGCTTGGAAACCCATCCCATCTGATACTGAACATGACGAAGAGCGGAGTAAGCTTAAGCACAGGTTGATAAGAAGCCTGAGAAATGATCACAATCAGTGATGGGTAGCGAAAGCGAAAGAAATGGGAAAGACAGCAGCGATAGGTAACGGCAGACAACTATCCAGACTTATAAAGAAAGCCGGAATCAGGAATTCGACTGTCAGTGAGACTACCTCGAAAAAGGATAGGCTTATTATTCATTCTCAATCCAGGAGACTGGACCGATGGGCAGAACACTTTAGAGACCAGTTCAACTGGCCTTCAGCCACACTTTGGCTACCTACGATCTCCAGTCAACCTGAATGGCGAACCGATGTAAGTCCTCTAACTCTTAATGAAGTCGAGCAAGCTGCAGGAAATCTGGAGCGAGGGAGAGCAGCAGGGTCTGACAGGCTCACCTCTGTGATTTTTAAGGATCGTGATCCAGTTTTAGTTCGATTGACTGAGATCATAGGTAAAGTCTAGGAATCGGATGTAATTCCATCAGACTAGTCTCAATCACATTGTCTCTGTCTATAAGAAAAGATAAAATTCCTCTTGTGACAGTCACAGAGGAATCAGTTTGATTAATATAGTGTTCAAAGTACTTGCTTCAGTAATATCCTGACGCCTGACTGGAGCTCATGAAGAGCAAACTACAGGAAACCAGGCTGGTTTTCGACCTGGACGTGGATGTACAGATATTCACATTACGTCAGATGCTAGAACATAGCCACACATTCAGAAGTCCAGCAGTAGTATTTTTCGACCTTAAATAAGCATTCGACTCTGTGGATCGTGATGTTCTGTGGCAGTGTCTGTTATTAAAAGGTGTACAAATGAACTACATTAACCTTATACAAGCTCTGTACTCAAACACTACAGGTCGAGTTAGAGCTTATGTCGAACTGTCATCAGGATTAATTACTTCGAGTGGTGTCCGTCAAGAATGTCCATTCTTACTCAACTTAGTCATAGTCATACTTTAAGAGTTAACTCTTTCGTCATCTAACTTCCCAGGAGTTGAACGTTTACTGGGAGATTCATTTGTTGCCTTAAAATATGCCGATGATATAGTTCTACTTGGTGAAGAAGCAGAAAAAATGCAGTCTTCTGATTACCTTAGGCAACAATGCAAGCATGTTCGGAGCGCGAAGTGCAAAATGTTGCTTCAAGATAAGCATACGTCGGCACCTGAACTAGTGATAGGGAGTGAAGCGGTTGAGCGTGTTGACCGCTTCAACTATCTCGGGAGTCTCATTATTGCTGATGGCCCGGTGATGACGAAATCTCACCACGGATACACAAGGCTTGACTGGCTTTTGCCGACCTACATCACTTATGGCGTCAGCGAAACATCCGTCTACCAACCAAAGGATGAGTGTAATGCAAATCAGTTTGCTGTGAAAACATGGCCAGTCAGAGTAGAAAAGATTCGCAGATCACTAACATTCGATCGTAGATAGGTGTCTTAGAACTATTGCCTGTATATTCTGGGACAATCAAGTAAGCAATGCCGTCGTTAGGAAACAGGCAAATCAACTGATGAAGTATTGAATTTTCATCACTCGAGGTAGTTGAGACATGTGTTACATATGCCCAACTACCGAATGCCCCGACGAGCAATGTTGTCTGGTGTAGAGGTAGACTGGTAGGAAGCTAGGGTAAACCAGATCAAAACATGGCACAAACCCATGGTTTGGCAACTTGGACTGATGTACGTACGCGCTAAGTTCTATGTTGTTGCTGACTGACTGGCATGATGAAAACTGAACTGGAGATAAATTACGCACTGATGAGCACAAGCACAAGGAGGATCCTTGTGAAGTTGCGATTCTAAAACAGTACAAAAGGTCTATATTTTAGTTTATCGTATTTGAAAGGTGCATTACCCTCAAAATTTACATCCAACTGCATTAAAAAAGACCTTGCATAAGAGAACTGTCACTACTTGCGGGTTCCTTTACGACGAGATAAACTAAACGTTACTATCAGAACGAAAAGGTATTCATGCGACGATTTTTTTCTGAGCCGTTTGCTTCATATTTTTTGGTGCAATCGTATGTTATTGGCAACGCAACCCAAGTCCAACCGTATGACACAACGATTTTTGATCACCGTTCGAAAACGACATCAAACTGCTGTATCATGATAATTTTCAGAATTCCAGTGACAAAAACGCCTTTGTTTCATTAGGACACTAATTTTGTAATGATTTGACGTATATATAGTGGGATGATAGTGCGAATTACGAGGACACTTACTGTAGATGACTGTTGTGAACTCTTATCTCTGCATTAATAAGCGACAATTTTATGCATTGTCGTTGGTATTTAAAACAGGTGCGCGGGAGGCTTTTCCTATAGAGTTCACCTTGACTTTACCTTTTTGGTTTGCTCCAACAAGTACATTCTCCTTTTTACTTTAACTGTGCCAAATTGTTAAAATACCTATAGGCACATCTCATAAAACCATTAATAACTCAAAAAAATTAGTTTGAAACCGGTCATATCAGTAATGAACCAGTATTCAAGTGAAAAATCCTACTTTGGAATGATATCAAAACTACTACTTATTACTGACCGTGTAGCCTTTATGAAAAATTCATCATACACAGAAAATCTAAAAGTCTTTTTTATTTCCTCAGGTTCGTAGGAGTTTGGATAGCTCAACAACAGAAATTAGTAAAAGAATTAGTACTTCAATCTTACACATGCAGTAACGCAACTGTTTGAAAACAGATAATCCACAAGGTCATTAATCCAGAATACAAACTATTCATAGTTAAATTACATAACTGTCTGAGAATTTTCGACTAATTTTATGTGGCAGAATAGCGTTATTCATGATTATTTTACGTTTTATGTAATCATACTAACTGCTAAAAAGATAAATTTAGTCCTAACTTTACTCAGTATCATAGTTTGAGCACAATGTGACGTTTTCCAACGATAGAATATTTCCTGTTTTATTTCAGTGGATGATGGCCTTCGTGATTCTCCAACTCTCCGCTAAATGCATTCGAACTGTTCTGACGTTTTTATTAAAAATTGTGACTTTGGATTTGTTTGATAGTCGTTCTGAGTTCTAGCTGTGCTTCAACTGTATAAATGCTAACCTTGCTTTACCTTCCCCTTAACAGCTAGGTTTGGGACCAGCCGAGACTTCAGAGTAGCTCCATGTGGATTAGGATTCGCAGGTATCGAAGATTTACTCGTTAACTATCCCTTTCGCTGTTTAGTACTGTATTTTGCTTTGGAAAATCCTTCACATATATTTATTAAAGGCTGCATAGCTTCGGAAATAGTGCTATTCTGATATAATTTATATCTCTACGTATTTCCTTTACGTTTTAAATTAATGAAAGTTACTCAAAAACGAATTGCACGTGATACTGAAGAACTTAGTTTGTGCTTAACAGACAACATTCAGTACGTCAGTTCTGCGTTAAAGACAAGTAATGGAAGATTTGGTTGTTGCATATAATATGGCTGTTGAACTCGGGTAGGTTCAGTATTAGCATCACAGATTGTCTACGTCTTCAACTTACAAACTCTTCAAACTATGCGGTTTTTAATTGTTTCGTTGACTATGAGCACCACTAAAACTGACGATCCGGTGAAAATTCTCTCGTACTAGATGTCTACGAGCGAAAAATGGTAGCAACACAAAAAGAAAGTCCACGTGTAAAGAGGGTTATAAACAAAAAATTCAGTTAAACAACTACTGGTAAAACTGGTTATAATAAGAAATGTTTCTATAAAATCAATTGCGTTATTTCCTTAAAAGTGGATCCACTACAGATCAAAAAGTCTACGATATTACAATATAAAGTCCATGAACCATAGTCATTAATTGTGATAGTGTTTTGTTCTCAGAGAACAAAACATCAACACAATCATCCATCTGAACTATACATTTTCTTCATGGTGAAAAATTAATAATATTACGTTTAGACTGGAAATGGCTGATGGAGTCGTGAAATCTAATGTATTACTGCTATTTGCTACGTTAATTGTTCTTTCTATGGTCAAATGTTGTTTTTACTAGTCCATACGAACTTTAATCGATCTGTATCTCGTTCAACCAGATACCACACAGAGCAATTTACGATTGAAGTAGATAATTAGTATCTAATGAAATTACGCCTGGTAGTAGTTTGAAAGATTTTGATAGCCAATACACAACCGTATTCACGATGACACCAAAAGATTCGCCATACACACAAATAACTGTCTTCAGAATAACCGAAACCTCATTTTTTTCAAAAACGCAGAACAGCGAATCGTTATAAGTAATCTACGACTATCTTTAGACCGCGCAGGTATATGTCGAGAGATGGTTACAGCATGTTGTTCATTTATGATATAACTCGGAAGACGTCCCTCAGTAATGGTAAGTAATTGGAAAAAGAAGCACGATCAAGTACTCGTCATGTATCAAGCTAAAATTAACACTGATATTTAGAATGATTGAGTGTGAAGCCATCAAAAAAGACTGTAATTCAATTAACCCATTACAAAGGAATTGGAGATGAAAAAATTAACGTACATAATTTGATATCTTTTTCATTAGTAGCAGAAGTGTAGACTATAGGCAACAGATCATCCATATAGATTTAAAAATGAAAGGGATGTAAACAGCTCCTCATTTGATCATTAGTTTATGAGGAGAATACTATTGGTCTGATAGAAACATTCATTATTATAACCAGTTGTACTAGTGGTTGTTTTACTGTACTTTTTGTCTATTACAATCTGTGCACGCAAACGTTCTGTTTATGTTGCTGCCATTTTGGTTCCACTGACTCTGTAATTTCGTCCCTCTTTTCTGGCTCGATTTCGGTATTCTTTCGACACCATGGAATCGCCAGCAAATATATTCACTTCTACGGATTATCTTCTCTAATACGGGCATGTGATTGTTTCGGTGGTGGTGGTCATAGTGAATCGCGACTCTACTCGCGCCACTACAGCTTTATGAAAAAAATATATATGGAGACTTATTTTGAGACTCTGAAAGAAATAATGTCGAAATCCTATTTGATAGGAAGTTTCATGACTTAGTAGTTCTAACTACGAGAAGTTTATACGGATTTTCGTTCACTTTGTTCATGTATTTTCTTAAGTGGATGTTTATTGAAGTACAAATTACTACGAAAACGAATCATTGGCCTGTTTGTGTGAAGACTGTATTCTATACAATTTATCATAATTATATCCTCTGTACTACAGCAATGAAAGCAAATTGCGTGAGATTCATGCTATGGTTCAAGCATCTTCCTGACTCATACTTTCTAAACTCATTTTATTAAAGTGATAACATTCCAAAGATGGATGAGTGGATATTATAACGCTGGGAAGTCAAGTATATCAAAGATCTAGAGGTTAGGGTTCATGGTATTCTGGAAAGAAGCTCAAGTAGGCCATTTTCCACTTGTCATATGAAAGTAAAGAAAAATATCAAGTGAGTCACCAAAATTATGCGTCCTGTCTTCTTTTGTTTTAAACTTCATCAAAACCACTGTAGAAGAATGAACCAAATGTAGAATCAACAAACATTTTTTTATCACGTTAAGAAAACAACCACCCACCTATATTTATGTACTTCTCTCTGGGTAAGTGATTCATGGTCTACCTAGTCGAATACAAACTAACGTTTTAGATGTATATGGACAAATGGTTTCGTTGAATTGATTGTGCTGTCTCTGGATTCCGGAGTTCAATGCCACAGAATCTACCCTGCACAATGTTCTATCGTTAAGTAGTTAGTCACGAAGTCTCCCTTTATCTAGATCTCTTGTTGGGTAAGTTTGACTAGTAGTGACAATGTAACTTCACTGATAGAAGCTAGTCAGCAATAAAGAACAAATTGGCATAGTGCTGGTCAATGTTAAATATTGAAACTAAGAATGGTAAAAGGTGTTTCATTTTAATCACGTGAATAAAGGAATGGGCATCGTTTCCTTGATTACGATTAGTTAGGTAGGATAGTAACATGAACACTTATCTAAACCTACAAATTGTAAACGATTTTAAACGTTTTGAAACCATTGACTTGTGATGCGAATGTTACAACAGTTGTGACAAAAGTCAAATAGTAAGTAATGTAAGAAAACTTATGAATTAAATCTGAGGGTAGTTTATATTTTTTGATATGTACAAATTTACAAAAAAGAAAAAAACAAACCATAGTCATAAGGATGTAGTATACAGTCAAAAAATATATTATAAATATCAAAATTTATAATACATAATAATATGAAAGTAGTATCTAATAATATTAAACTGATCTCTTCAGTGAACAAAAAAAAAAAAAACAAACAGTTTTACGAATGATAAACACATGTGAATATATGAAGAAAATCTAAAGATAAAACACTTATAATAATGTATATAATTCAATCATTTTCAATTAATTCCAAGTCTAGATCAGTGAAAGACAATGTCTGTTTGTTGTTATTTGATTCATCTAATAAAATTTCTGAACAGATACGTCGTCGGTTAGGCATTTGTGGCGAAAGAATGCTTTTCATGCCATCGGATAATTCTCGATCAGAGTTTGAACTGGTAGTGGATGATGGTGTAAATAGTAAAACTTGTCTACCAGTACTATCATCATCATCATCATCATTCTGCATATTTGTATCAACTGATTCATCTAGTAGTACAACATTTGGATGATTGTGTATCGGTATGTCACAACTATCATCATCATTTCTATTATCTAATGAATGAATTGGAGTAAATGCAATTTCATGAATTGATGATGGTGGTGATGACAATGATATGACAGAATGATGATGATGATGATGATGATGATTTATTTCAGATAATCTATCATTATTATTACTACTTTCATCAATCATTGTTTCAGGTGTTTCATGTTCTTTTTCATCTTCAATCATTTCATGAAGTTTTTCTAATTCATTATAAGTATAACGATGTAGAAAATTTTCCTCGGAAAAAACACTAGAAAAATGTTCATATTCTTGTCCACAGTTTATATTGTAAGCCTGTAAAATAAAATGAACTTTTTTCAATCTTAGCAAACAAGCAACGATCAACTGACCATAAAATTATGAAGATTATCAATCTTATAAAGTATGATAAGTTAAATCATGCAATAAATTTACATGGTCTAATCAACACACACATAAAATAAACTATTCAAGTTGTATGGCTAAAGAAAAAACGACCACTGGTAATTTACTTGGATGACTATAACATTAAGTTAGCCTGATCTCAAGTCTCCTATCTTTTATTTAACTACTGCCATAAAATTTTATAACTTCAGTTTGCATATCTCCTTGACAGACTAGTTACAACTAAACCAGTTAATTGAATTATGAACGCAACAGTTATAGTCCTTCTCTTATTTATCAAATTATTACATACTTATTGTTAGTGGAAGATAGATGAAACAATGCATGACTGCGTTAGCTGCGTGCTGATTGCCTAATTTCCTATCCAATCAGCGCCTCGCCCATACTTGGAGAACAGGCTAGAAAATTCTCGTGTTGTTGGCTGCATTCTGATTGGCTAAATCTAATCCGGTCAGTGCTAATCGATCACGTGAATTACATTCCAGAAGCTTCTCATGTAGAGACGGTGTATCTATTTGGCCTTCGCCTTTGCCTTCTTATTTCCATTTAACCTTGCTATTTGGAATATAATCTTTTCTTGTCCCACCGTGTTTTTATTTTTTGGAACTTGTCCAGTAAATTGTGGTCAGAGAATACTAAGCAATAAGAATTAGCTGGGAATTATTTAAGCGAGAGTTATAACGCTTATGATACGTGAAACAGTTTATATTGTACATTTACTAGTAAGCTTTTATGATTTGTTAAATATCGAACAGGCGTTTCATCTTGACTTGCGATATTTCGACAATGCTAACCCACAAAGTTAATCACTAGTGAGAAAATGTATCTTATTTTATAAATAGTTTGTAAAGATTAGTTTACTGTGGTATTCGCTATGGATTAACATTAGTTACTGAAAGTGGAAGAACTACTACTATTACAACTGTTAGTAGTAGTTTTAATAATAAGAAAATTAATTGGAAAAATTTTCATCTGAAAGAATATATAAATAAAACGAAATGTAATATATATACATATATATAGAACTTACATTGTATTTATTTCTATCCGCATACGATGATACACAGCATGGATTCCCAATAGAGTTGATGACAGAACATGAATGATCATTGAAAGTTTCAGCGATTTTACCATTTTTCTCATTATCCATCATGATTGTAGTATTTTTCAAATTAGAATGTGCACAATGTTTGATTGATGATACAGAAGAAGACGAATGGTAATAATGCTCATCATTAATATTGGATTCAATTGAATTATTTTGATATTTATATGCATCAAAGTTGGATAAACATTTTAAACCAGAATTAGTAGAAGAATAAGAACCAGAATGTGAAGGAATAAATGATGACTCTGGATCATTGAATGGAAATATTGAATGTTGTTGTAGATGATCATGACATACACAAATAGATTGATGATGACAACAATGATAATGTTGATGATGACAGTCTAAATGATCATCTAATCGACTGTTTGATAAAATTGTCGACATATAATCTAAATGTTCATTGTCCAACAATGATTTATTATCAAAATTATTTTTTAATTGATCAGTAGTTTGTTTATTAAACAAACAACAATTACAAGATGATAATTCATCATGTGGCAATAAATGTTTGTTGATTTCTTCTTCATGATTATGATGATTATGATTAGGATGATGATGATGATGATAATAATAATAATAATGATTAGATTCATTGTGATGAAAATCATTACTACTACATTCACTCATTGGTCCACGTCGACGTTTTAATCCAGCTGCTGAATTAGCAATGTTGATATGACTAGAAATTGTTGTCGTTGTTGCTGTTGGCTTTGTCATCATCATCATCATCATTGAAGTTGTGGAAATAGTCGTGGAAAATGTACATGTAGCGTTAGTAGTAGTAGTAACAATAGGACAAGGTGACTGATGCATATGTTTCAAGGTTCTAGAACAATAAGATCCATGTCTACAATTGTTATCATACAGTGTAGTATCATCATTAGGCTGTGAACAACATCGAAGCATACATTTCATTGATGGCAATGAATAACTGCAACAACAACTACTATTACTGCTATTACTACAACTACTACAACTACTACTGTCATTTCTATTCTGTGGATCAATTTTATTGCCGCTTATATTTACATGATGATATTGATTATTATTATTATTATTATTATTATTATTATTATTATTATTATCAATCATATTAGGCTCACTATCTTCTAACTTAAAGCATGGCTCTAAATCTGCTAGTTTATTTGACGTAACAATATATTGATTGGATGGTTTAGTATCGATTGGTATGTGTGTTTGATTTCGTCTATGATGATGATGATGATGATGATGATGATGATGAGGTTGATGTTGTTGATGTTGATGACATTTACAATTGCAATGATGATGAGAGCTTGGCACAGAATCTGACGATACACCAAACTATAATAAAGACAACATAAGAGAGAAGAGAGAAAGGAGAACAATAAAATATGATTGCACTTGATGAAAGAAGGTAATAATAGTTGCAACAACTGTTGAAAATTAACCATACCCTGTCTTTAATTTAATTTAAACTCTTATTGGTAGTTATATCAACATAATAGTCGTTGAACGGGTTGGTGTCTATTCTGACTGAGTAGTTCAGTGAAAACAGGCGATAGCATTTGAAAAGGCACTAAGCTAAAATTTGGAAATGAACTTCAGCGCTCGGATGCATCACTATTCAGCTGACAATTCTCGAATGTAATGGAACGCGCTTCTTAGATTCCACTGCTAACCACAGTCTATCTATTTTAAAAAACGCGAGATTTATAAATCTCATCATATCCACAAATGAGTGACAATTTACATAAAATGGAAGATCGCTAAGTCGACTTGTTAGGCGGAATGAAATCTGCTAAAGTGTATGCATTACCATGAAACATCCATTTGCAAAACAAGTGTATCCTTGACCGTCTTCTCCCACATGTCTTCTATTTCTTAAAACACCCAGATCCCGCCATAGATTCGTATCTGACACTTCTCTCTTTAGCCGTAACTTCAGAGCGACACTCTGTTGCACATCCACTATATGTTACTTATAAGCTCCGCCTTAAGTAGCACACGTCACAATAGGAAGCCAAATATCTAGGTTTATTTGAGATAGGGGTAGGATTATCGATATCTGTTGAAACTTACCAAAAAATTCTCATACTATCGCAGAATGATTGAAATTAGACATGTACACCATTGGATACCAGCTTACTGATTTACAGATTGTGTTCGCACGCGAAATCGAGGGCTCCGAGTGTGACTACCGCTAGCGGATTCGTGGATGTGCATTGTCAAGAAGTCCCATACTAGGACGACATAGCCGTCCAGGCTTCGCAGAATTTAGATAGCGTCTAAATTTAATCAGTTGTTGGTTTCAATAAATGAAAGATTTGTATAAATCCACTGCATTTAATATCTTCTCCCAGGCTTGTGGCAATGAAGATACGAATAGATATCTGAGATTGGAAGGTAACCCAGGGATAAAAAACTGGAAAGCATATCTATACTCTGTGACCCAGTTCAACTAACCAGCGCAAGTCCAAGGTCAGCAGGAAGATCATATAATCCACTAGTAGCCACGAATGAACGAATTAACAAGCATTCAATTCAAGCATTATTTATACAATACAAAAAGTGTCCTTGTAAGAGTTACAAGATGCAACTAATCAATAAGGTTTAAGGTTTTTCCAAATGTGAAACACAAACTGAAGGTAATAAGGGGTGTTTTTGGCACCAAAATAAGAAATTTAAATTTCCAAGAATCAATTACAAAATTAGGAGGTTTACCAAGTGATTACTGGGGGGGGGTAGCATCCCAAGCATCTTCAAAGTTCCAAAACTATATTACAGGTATTTCATGCTAATGTATACTGGATTCTATGGAGATTAGTCAGTAAATAGTGATGAAGACTAAAGAAATTCATATCGATCTAAAGTGATATAAAATCGTAGTGCGTATATTGAACTGTAGTGTAAACCACTAAAATGTAACAAATATTCTATTAGCTGTTTAATCTTAGTGTTTAAAATTAAAACTAAATTTATTTAGAATACTGTATGAGAAGAGTGACGAGAACAAAATTCAATCCTCAGAATAAGAATTAGATTTTTGAGGATTCAGTGCAGGAAAAGTGAATAAATCGACAGTGATTGGTCATTGATTAGTGACGAATGTCACGTTTTTCTATTCTTTAGTGTTGACGAGATGATATAGATTAAGTTGCAATACGGATACTAGCGAAAATGATTTCATATCGCGTGCACTGTGTTTCGATATTAAGTGGTTTGGAGGTAGTCAGCAGTAAGAAATATGGATTGAACAAACGTGACACTGTCTAATACTCATGGATCAGTTAATGTAAATATCTCACTCCTAAAAAATAGTAATTGCGAAATGAACAACCTAGTGGAGTAGCCTGAGACTGTGAAGTTGAATGATACTGAATGGAGCCTTACAAGTGTACGTGTGCCTTGCTGACGAGCGCCAATCGTCTAGAAACCTATAATTTAGTCAACAGCTGCTTACTACTTAAACAAGTGTGAGTAGCTAAATAGATTAAAACCAATATTTTAAAGATTCATTATGCTTCAGTACATACAAACTATAACTAGGAAATTTAACACAACTGTGGTACAAATCAAAGCTACAGATAAAAATAAACGGGAGAAACTTGTTCACACTCAATCATAAAACATTAGCTGAATTATTTCCGTAAATATGTAATGGGTAAATTTTATTGGGCAGATTCCAGCATAAAAGCATACGAAAATTTTAGTTCAATTTGATACAGTTTGGATTACCCAATCGTTGATATTTTGTCCGAAATTTGATTAGCCTTGGTTGGCATATAGGTATCCAGTACGGAATACCTTAATATAGGCATGAGGAAACAAATTTACATAGAACAGATAGAATTTCGCTAGCACTGGAATCTAGGACGCGCGTTTCGACCAATCTGAGACTCGCAAGCTGGATGCACTTACATCTTGAAGTCAGTATTCACTCTGTAACTTGAAACTAGTTCTGTTCTCTTCAAACACTTTCGTGTTATCCAATTAGCTACTGAGTCTAATCCAATCTATTGTTAGTCATATTCTATTTATTCTATATGAAGATTTTCAAAATACAATTAGCTAGTATTGAAATTTGAGAAATAGAAACGATATGTGTAAATTATAAGCAGAAAGACTGTATTTTTCTCGTTGCCATGTAAATTGCTTACTCTTGAACAATCTGGTAAACTAGAGGCTTCAGATAAACCAGAAAATGAAGCTTCATGAAATCCAGATGAAGGAGTTCGAGTAGTTATTTGAATCGATGAAGATATTGACCCAGTAGTTGGAGAAAGTGAAAATATGGAAGAGTTCCCATCCATTGGAAAACTTCCGAATGATGCACGAGTGGGAGTGAATGCTGATGATGGACTAAAGACAGGGAGAGGGAGAGATAGAGAGGAATCAGGATAAAATAATGTTGAAAATTAGTTCGACATTAATAGTTAGATGTTGAATTGATATACATTTACAAAAATTTACTAGCAAACAAATCTGAAACATTATTTAAACAAGAATAACAATATATTATGTTATTAAATCTATAAACATAAAAATTATATCATCTCCAAAAAGTATCAGTTTGTTAATACATAATCTGTATCATATTTCTATCTCTATACAATATTTAACCCCTGTTTTTTTCTTCCTCATACACTTAACTATTTTAATCTGTTTTAGTAACATTACAGTAGATGTTGGGGATCATAGAACAAGATCCCAAAATCACAGGATTACAAGTGAGATCGAATTATCAAGATGTTAGATAATTACGAAAACACTAATTTGGTAGCAGGCATTTATCGAAATGGCTCAGTCCAACAACTAGTGATTTTATAGGCTAATGTCAAGTATTTGAATGGTTTTAGTCTTACACTAGAGAACATTGTGCATCGAAATAGGTGGTTGTTACACTTACGTAATATATGTCCTAACAATCTCAGTTGGTCGATATCAGTAGATCAGTTGCAGTAAATTGTTATACAGCTGTTTTTTTTCAGAAAAAAAATTATGAAAATGGTTTTATGTAAGATCTATCTATAGTTATGTGTTAAATAGTTTCTTAGAAATTAAGATTCTTTAAGACACAACACTGAGTAATCAAGTAACACAGAGTAACTGACACGAAATCATAGTACGTATGTTTCAGTAGTTTAATTAATTTTAAAGAAAGACCTATTTAACATAATAAATATTTACATTATGGGATTGTGAAGATTGTTAAGTTACACATTTTCGAAACCATGAATCGATCAATGTTATACCACCATTAGAAACCTGGAAGCACTGGATGGCTGTTTCGTCCTGGTATGGGACTCCTCAGCAGTGTTTCCAGGTTTCGAATGGTGGTCTAACATTGATAGATTCATGGTTTCAAAAATGTTTAACTTACCAATCGTCACAACCCCGTAATGCAAATTACCTGTGCTCACTAGTGACTAGCTTCATAAGGAATCTTCTCCGAGTTCTAGTGGGAAGACGTGACCAGTGAAGTTCAACCTGTTCGGGTGTAGGCAGTGTCTACCGAAGACTGTGTATGAGGTTGCGCAACTCTGTGAATTTGATCAAGTTAGACATTAACACTGTTAGATACCGACTCAGTGGTCTAACGGTTAGGGCGTTCGCGCACAATACCGAAGGTACTGAGTTCGAATCCTGTGGGATGCAGGAGTCGTGGATGCGCACTGCTGAGGAGTCCCATACCAGGACTTGACGGCCGTCCAGTGCTTCCAGGTTACTAATGGTGATCTAACATTGGTCGATGCATGGTTTCAAAAATGTGTAATAAATAATTCTCATTCTCTTATAACATTCATACTGAAAAACTGTTATATCAACATATTTTATTCAACAAGAGAAATATGTAGATTTTTCCAATGATGCCATTTTTATGATTGTGATTATATTGAACATATAAACAACAATAATAATAATAATAATAATAATAATAATAATAATAATAATCGATCATTTGTTTATAATACAAGGAAAAAAAAATAGTTTCCAAATTCTATGCAAGTACAAAATAAAAAGTACATTATTCACATTAAGTAATTAACAATTGACTGGTTAGGTAACAAGTGATTATTGATCAAGTATAAATTTTAATTCTGTATTGATTTTGATTGAAAAATTATCAATTTATCTAGGGTTTTGGTTTTGATCAACAACCAAAAAAAACATCATTGTAAATAACACACCATGTATCCAATACATATGTACATTGAGGTTATCAATAGATCACTAGCGTAATATTAATAATTAGTAATAATGATTGAAATACAATATTTACCATACATATTCACTATGAACTAGTAACTAAACGAATTTATCAAAATGTATTAGAACATACAATATACTACTACTACACAAAATGAATAGACAGATATACACAAATATAGAAATGTCTTTCATACATATTGAATGACTTATTTACACTGATTTTTTTTCCGAATTAGATGTGCTCGTTTACTACTTTTTCTATCTTACTATTCTCTCTTGTTTTTGAAGAAAAAAAAAACATGACTGCACAAACACACACACACATTTGGCAATCAGCCAACATTTTTTTAAATATGTGTATCTATCTTCAAATGAATGAAAAAAAAAACGAAGGGGGTAACAACAACAACAACACAGTAGAAAAACACTAACAACGGCCTAAGTCAAAGTTATTAATCTCCTTTCTATTGGCATGTCTGAGAGCCAGGTTAAGGTTAGTCGGGATTTTTGGTCAATATAGGAGTAGAGATTAGCCAAGAATTAATCAATAATACGCCAATCACAATAGGGCAGGAAAATCTAAATAGAGAAAGGAAACACTAGTAATTATTTTAACCAATCAAAATGTAATTGAAGGTAAGATATATTTTTTTTCTAACTGTTCTATTGTTTATATGTTGGCAATTAGTAGTATTGCTCAGTAAAAAATGACAAATTTAGAATTTACATATATAAAGTAATGAGTTTTTATAAGATGTAAAAGTTCTAATTTAGTTTTTTGTCAATATAGATTAGTTAACTTGAATGATGTTCAAAGCATCTTAATTGTTTTACAAAGACATCTATTTATCATCAATAATTTTTTTCATGATTTAAGTTGAAATCCCTAATCATATTATCAAATAACCATTGATCGCTAGAAATGTTTCATATTCAAACTGTGATAGTGAATAGTGGATAATATTCTGAAGATAGAATATTTCAGAGTTTATATATTGATATGTCTATGGTGTTATTGTTGTGCTGATCACTTGATATGCTTGAAACTATCACGAGTTCATCT